AGAATATGGATATTCTGAAGCCACCTCTGTACTGCATTCAAGTCCATGTCACATCTACACATCAAAAATTATGTTAAGATGTACAGATTTTGAACTGGACAGACAACAGCGTCCATACAATGTGAACTGCCCAACAAACATATTTAAAGTCTGCATTTTACAAGGCACCTAAGCATTGCTGATATAGTTTTAGTTAATTTTACTGACACTATAGTGATAAAAGTATATTTCATTTAAAAAATTAGATATGCATTCTTGACTTGAAGAGCTGAAGAGTATCTGGAAGGACAAGACTGATAACCATAGCTTAAAAATTAAATGAAATAATGAAGAGCAATTGATTTGTTCAGACAGCCAAGGAATATATGTCATATACAATGAATTTATCTCTATATATAATAATTCTGTTTTGGTGGTGGCACTCTCCTAAACATTCCACACGCTCCCAAATCAGTTGACTCCCTGATCTCTCACTCAGATGCTGTCTCTATCCACTGGCTGCATTGCCTGAGTCTCACCTCCAATATTTTAAACAGTTTGCTGTTCCTCTCCCCCCAATAGCCAATCGGAAAACAGAGGTAATTTGCATATGCGGCCTGATTGGCCTTTGCCTCTAAGATTCTAAACAGTATGTTGTTGCTGTTGGGAGTCACTGAATGTCTCCTGAGGTAAAATACATATCCCAATCTTCCCTTAAACGGTCACTGGAGTTGCCAATCTCCCTGTGGGGCCTGGAGATCTCCCAGAAATCACCATGTTTCCCAGCCCAGCTATTACAATGGCTGCTTTGGGCAGTGGACTCTATAGCATTATAACCAGCTGAAGTCCCTCCACACCCCAAACCCTGTCCTCCCCAGACTCTACCCCTCAAATCTACAGGTCTAGCCCTCCCCTTAGTATTGCCAGCCTCCAGGCAGCACCTGGACATCCCCAAGAGAAAATGGCTGCTTTGGGCAATGGACTCTATGACATTATACCCTGCTGAGGTCCCTCCACACCCCAAACCCTGCCCCCCCCGGGCTCTACCCCTCAAATCTACAGGTCTGGCCCTCAGTATTGCCAGCCTCCAGGCAGCCCCCGGAGATCTCCAAGATCAGTTCTCCTGGAGAGAATGGCTGCTTTGGGCAATGGACTCTATGGCATTATACCCTGCTGAGGTCCCTCCCCACCCTAAACCCTGCCCTCCTCAAACTCCTACCCCTCAAATCTACAGGTATTTCCCAACCCAGAGCTGGCAACCCTGTAACTGGCTATGGAACCACTTTCCAGACCGTTGGAACCCAGAAGCCACTGCATAACCCCAAATCAACATAAGTAAGGGTGGAGGGAACCATGTCTGTTACCATGAGACTGTCCTCCCATACTACCCACTTTGGGCAGCAAAATGAGACAGCCCTGCCTTATAGCTAAGCAGAAGGAAATAAACATGGCTTGCCTCCCTTTATTTTCCCCTTCCCTCTGCTGCCCCACCAGCCACAGCCGGGACACTCACCTGGATCTTCATTCTAGAACTCATAGTTCTTCCCACAAAGGGCCTTACTGCTAGTTAGTGATACTGCACAATGGGATATGGAAGGAAAAGGAATTGCTTCTTTTTCCCACTCCCCACCAGATTAAAGATAACATACTTGCTTAAAAATGAGTTTTATTATTTTAATATAAACGAAGCTCACCATTAGCTATTAATTTGGGGTGAAGGAAATCATACTAACTACAGTATTCTGCTACAGAAATTACCTAAAAATAGAACGTTCAGCGTTGAAGGCAAGGCCGGCCCAAGGGTTTTCTGCGCACTAGGCAAGGCTACCTTGTGGCGTCACCCCCCCCTCCCCCGTGCTGGCCCTGTGTGCTCTTTTTTGTGTCCTACCCCGTCTCGGTCCATACAGGGAGAGCCCCTCCCTCCCGGCAAGCGAGCAAACTCTGTCGTGTCAGTGACAAAGAGATGCTTGTGCCAGATGTCACCTCGAAGCCATAGATCACTGGGCTTGAAAGGAAGTCTGTCCACAGGGGGAAGGTCTTGGAGCAGGCTGCGGGAGTTCCACAGCCCCCCCCCCCGACCAATGCTCCCTCTAAGCTGTGGAGTCTTCTTGTGAGCAATGCTCATGGGGGGGGGGGGTTGACTGAAGAGCCATCTCTCCCCCTCCTGCCCACCTCCTCTCTCATGAGCAGGTCCCTCCTGCACAATGCTCCCTCTAAGCTGTGGAATCTTGTGAGCAAAAATCCTACTTTGTGAGCAGTGAGCAAGTGATTTGGCTCCTCTCCCCGGCCCCATTCTGGGCTCCCCCCCAAAAAAAAAGCCCTCTGCCTGCTGGGGTGGGATAGGAGGAGGCGGCAGCGAAGGCTGTCCCTCTGGCTCTTTCGGACCAGAGCCCCGGCGCCAGTCATCCCCCCCCCCATGACGGGAGAGCTCGCCTCATTCAGAGCCCCTTCGAATCTGGCTTGGGAGGGGCAAAGGAAGCGCCCCACCGGACCGTTCCAGGTTTTACCCTGTCCCGGCTGCAAAAGCCGGAGGGGTAAGTGGGGGGGCGATCTCTGGGGCCTGCGAACCCGCCCTCCACACACCCCCGGCTCCTTTGCTCTCTGCCTCCCCATCAACCTGGCTCAGCGGGAAGCGCTCTGCACGCACTCAGAAACCCTTTGCAGGCTGGGGGGTGGCGGCTGTGGGCCAAGTCACCCCCCCCGCCCAACTCACCTGGCTTCCCCAGGAGGCCCCCAGCGCTGCCAGGAGCAGCAGCAGCCACTGTTGGGCAGAGAGGCCTGGCAAGGCAGAGCGGTGGACTGCTGAGCAGGCTCCGAGGGGACAACCTGTTGGCTGAAGGCACGGGTCAAGGTCTGCAGGGGGCAGGTGGGGGGGGCCGCCCATTCCCACCCCGTTTGGGCTGCGAGCAAAAGGAAGAAGGGGGGGACTCACTTCCCCTTCTCAGCGGCAGCCACCATGGGCTTCTCCTCCTCCTCCCAGGCCGGAAACCACCGCTTTGCGCCGCTGGTCTCGCGGCAAAGTTGTTTTGGGGCGCCGGGGAGGCTTCAGGCTGCGGCCGCCCTTCTGCCCCCCCACTGGACTCCCTTGCTCTGCGGCTGCGGGGGCCAGCAGGAGCACAAGAGCTTCTTACTCGCCAACCCATCGTCATGCGGGGGGCGGGCAAAGAGGCAGTGGTGGTCAGGGCACGCAGAGTGAGCTTTTGGCAGGGGCGGGGGGCTTTTGACAGGGGTGGCTCAGTACGGCACCCCTATGATGGCCCCGCACTCTAGGCAAGAGTATAGCTTGCCTAGTGAGCGAGCCGGCTCTGGTTGAAGGTCAGGGTATCATGTTGCAATAGCTGCCTCTAGGGAATGGATTAAGAAACATGATGACTGAGCCCAACTGCACAGAATAACTGGGAAAAGGCATGGCTAGAATAAAGAAAGTGGGCAACAGGAGACAAGAGCTTTGAGGTTATAAGGCTACAAATGTGTTGCCATATTTATATACTAAATTCTGTTAAACAAATACAACAGAAATTGATTTTAGTCTACCTTATGAGGAAACTGAATATTTTCTCATTGCCTATCATACCCTCTAGCCCTTAAGAAAGCTACAAAGCAGATGCCACCAACAAGACTTGGACTGCAAATGTATTACCTTGCAGTCTCAAATGGATCAGTTATTTCTATGGATGGGTGCAAACCGACTTACAGACTAAAGTTCATGATGAATTTTTATTCGTTTGTGGTTCATGAACGGAAGTTCATTGCAGGTCAACTGGCACACACTTTCCACGAATTTTCAAGCAGTTTGTGGCAGTTCATAAACGGATACATTTCCAGACTGTCTCCGCTCAATCAAAATGTTTACCAAACTTCAAAGCAACAGGGAGGCAGAACTTGGAGAACATGTAGAGGAGCATTAGAGGGAGGTCCTCCATGTCTGATGTCTCTGCCTGGCACAGGGTCCATTCTATACACTCCTGAACCTGCACCTGTCATTTCCCTAGAAAGCACTTTCCTGGGGGCATCTTCTTTGGGGGGCCATAACTGAGATCCCGTAAATTCAATCCTCACCAAACTTTGAGGACAGGTAGAGGAAAGTCAGCTGGAGATCCCTTGTGAGTTTGGTATCTCTAGTACACTGGGGGAATGTTCTACCATGTCATGAACCAAAACACTTCATTTAGCACCTAAACGTTCATGACATTTTGTGGTTCATGAACCGAGCACACCATGAACCAAACTGCATTTTCAAGGTTTGTGCCCATCCCTAGTTATTTCTCCATAATCTAGTCAGAACTGGTGTGCAATGGCTCTGTTCTTCACCAGGCCAAGTTTCATAAAATATATGAAAGTAAGATCAAGTATAACAGGAATTAACCCATAATGCATACTTTCCATGATTTATATTAAGTGAGCAAAGGGCAACTAAAGACCGATTTCTGTTGTACCTCTTTCCAGATAGCGTAGCTACATGCTGCTGGAAGGAAAGGAAAGTCATAAGCTTTGCATATCAGCCCACTACTGTATCACAAAAAAAGAAGAATCACTAAAAGGCCACTATCAAAGTGCATATATTAACAAATAAATTAATGAAGAAGCTATGATATACACTGTGGGTAACACTTCGGAAATACTACATCAAATCTGAAAAAATGTGGACAGTGAAAGAGTGAACAGATGACTTTCACTGATTATCACATGGAAAAGCTGCTATTCTGGTGAACATTTGTGCAGTAAGTAAACCGTTAGAAAGTTAACAAGTTTAACCGAATACCTTTCGTCAATCTGAGATTTCCTAACAAGGCCTCTTTGTGTGACGACCTCTATGAGATTGCAACTAAGAGGGTTCAGGATCTCAACGGCAATTGCTTGTCAGCAAGAAACATACCTGCAAATCTAACCCACTTAGGAAAAGAGCTTGGCAAAGTCAGAATTTCCAGACATTTCTAGGTCAAGAAAACTCTCTTAAAAACACAGCAGGTAAGTATTTCCTTTTCCCTGCTGCAGAAAAACATAAGTATAAAGGAACTCACTTTTCCTTTTTTTCTTGTTTGTGTGCTTCTTTTGTAAGTTGAGCGGCTTTTCTGCTGTAAGGATGGATGACTTTTTTCTCCTGCCCCCCTCCTTTGCTCTTTGCTGCTTTTGGCTGAAAGAATGGAAGAGGGGAAAAAAGATACAGACATTTTCAAGGACTATCCTGCATCGAAGCTACAAGATTCAGACAGCTCAGAAGACTCCAAGGAGGACTTGATGAAAGAAACTGCAGTGAAGACATACCCTGTTCATTCTTCAAAAGTCCCTAGTTCACAACAGAACAGGTCCCTGATATGAGAACTCTAATCAAAGTAATACAAAGGTTAAATAGGAGAGGTTAATTTAAGCTTCCCATACAGAATGCATTTATCACATACACACAGGACAATCCTGACCAGAGTTACGCTCTTATACATCCACTGAAGTCAGTGGGCTTAAAACAGTGTAACCATGCTCAGGGCTGTACTGACAGACATATATCCCAACAAACACAGTCGTTACAAACCCATACTAATGATAATTTCTGCAAGTATAGTTCATAAGACATTAGATTTATGGTCACATGCTGAAATGCATGAGGAAAATTCCATAGCTAGGCATTTATTCATCACTAAGAATGGGAAAAAATAGTTTTAGAAAGGCCCATGTTACAAGCAGTGTTCACTCAAAGCTGAGTTAATGTGAGTTAGCTCACAGTTTTTTAGCCTCCAGCTCACATATTTTTGTCTTAGCTCAGGAAGGATGGCTCCAGAGCAAACTAATTTATGCAGTAGCCAAATCACTCACTCACCACTTTAATACCAGTGGTTCACAAAGTAGAATTTTTGCTCACAAGACTCCACAGCTTAGAGAGAACATTGGTTACAAGACTTAGTCAACTGCCTTTAGAACTCTGGATTAAAATTTATAGCAAGTGTCACTTTAAAAACCAAAGTTAATCTCAAAACAGACCAGACTAAAGGGCTTCCCCAGTCCTTCCCACTTAGCAAAGAGACTAAATTGGTTATGGACCACTGTATTACAGTGGGTGAAAGCTGTATCTGTAGATTGACAATAATGTCCTGTTGAATGTGCTTTGTTATAAAAGGACAATATTTCTGTTTGTATGTCTTGACTTTGTACTAGAATATTATGTATGACTAACAAAATAACAGGAAGTTAGTCCCTGAGATGATCTTAACCAGCACCAATGATCTTGAAAATGTCTGTGAGATTAACAACATACATAAAGCACACAGGAGCTTTTAAGCCACACTGGCTCTTATTATTGAGGGGAGGGGGGGTATGCACAGGCATTTGCTGTAACTGTGAGATATAGCATGCATTTGTTGAGCTGCTCTCCAGTGGCTTCCCTTGGTATTTACGAAAAACTCTGAAAGGATGACAATAATGGATAACTACCTGTCATATAACCAGTTCATTTCTTGCAGAGCCCTGTGAAATTCACATTTTCCTCCCACTTGTTGCGCACACAGAAGAGTACATAGAAGATCATTCGCAACACAATTTTTCATAATGGCATACAGCTCTGTCTCTCCTTTGTTGCTTGATGTGGTCCCTAAGGTCTTGGTGTCTGTCCACAGTTAGGGACCGGAGGTGGGCGAGTACACAGAATCCGTACAAGAATAAATTAATTATGCCAGATCCCATGACACAGGAATTGTCATCACTAACTTTAGCTTTTCTTTGTCACATAAGCTCACATTGTTCCTGTAATGTATGCTGACACCAGAAACCCACCACATGGCAGAGGCTTCTCAACAACTTCATCCAAGCAGTAGACTCAGATATGATCATTTGTACTAGAATAGCCATCTCTCCCTATTTCAACCCGTGCAACAGCTATGATTCACCCAGCAACTTTTGTCAGATCTTCATACAGACTAGTAAGAACGGCTTCATCATGGTTCAGGCTGTCTCTGTAGCAGCTGCTGTACTTTTGAAAGGCCTCCCTGAGGCGGTCAGAAGCTCCTAATTAATGTTTTAGGAGAGACTGAACCGGGCAGAGCTTTTCAGGAAAGCGTTTGGTTTGGGCCTTAAGTAGATTTTATTGTTCCTTTGCTAGAAACATGTTTTCCAACTGTGTGAAACCTGTTGATAGTTTATTACTTTATATTGCTATATTTTTGTGAGCTGCCTCGAGTCCTCATGTAGGATATTTATATTTTTAAAATCCTAAACTACTATAATTCTGTTTCTATAAACCCAAGGCTACGTTCATGGGCTCTACAAGAGTTAGTCTAATTATCAGTCCTGGCAAAAGCCAGAGCTACTTGACATCAGTCCTTCAGCATTTGCACTGACACAGTTTCCAAACGCCACTTCAATGACCCATGAAGGTTGAAACACCTCTAAGTCAAGGGAGCAAAACTGTCCTGAAATTGTCCTGTCCAAACAGCAAGTTGGGACAAAAGCATCTCAGAGTAGATGTCACTAAGGCGGAGAGATTTTGCTCCCTGAAGGCTCAACAAAACTGACCACCTTTTTGAAGCAGCGTAACATTTATTTTATCTGGATGTTGGTGGCCAAAAGTTAAGCTACAGGTGCAAAGCTCTCACCTGGTACAGACAAGTTTACAATTACAGTAATCAAACATTCCAATGCCAGAAAATTATTCTACCCAAGAGAGACTAGAATATTACAAAAACTGCCACGCAGAAAAAAACAAAGTAATACTAAACAGTGGCTGTGGTATAAACAAGGAATATGGGAACAGTAAAAAGTATGCTATTCCTGGAACTGTGATAAAATAATCTATTTTCACCTAGCAGCTCTCTAGATAATATAGAAAAGTTTTAATTGGAAAAGGGGAGGGAGCAGAAACAGTTTGAGAGGGAGATTCTGCCAACGGCAAAAAATTATACATCCAACATCAGCCGCTTCATTAACAGTCTTTTTTTAATCATTAAATTTCAAAGCAACATTGTGAAGTACTTTCATCACTTTGGCTGAAGGACATATTTTCTTTAGGTCTTGGGGTTTTTTAAAGAGCAGTATGACACTTTCAATATAGCAAGTTATTACCATGCTGGCCTCTTCAAAATACACTACGCTGAGAATTCTGCGCTAGGGACTGCAAGGAAAGTGATTGAAAATAAGACAGCCAATATTACAATGCCCCTGTGTAGATCTATCATGCAGCCTCATTTGGAATATTGTGTGCAATTCTGGTCACTGTATCCTGAAAAGGACATTGCAGAGCTGGAAGAAGTACAGAAGAGGATCTCTCAGCAGCATTCAGAGCAGCGTCTCTTCTTTTTTCCCCCTTGAGGACAGGAGCTGAAAGGTGGTACTCAGAGATTCTTCCTCCTCCTTGCAGCCTTGCACTGTGGAGTTCTATGTGAAACTGTTAGGAGACATCAGCAAGAACTTGGGGTGCAGTGACACTAATAAAGAGGACACCTTGGTCTACCTCTCTCAGTCAACAACTTCTGTGAATTAGTCTGTACACCAATTGAAGGTTCATCCCAACAGCAGTAACATGAATTCTTACAATCAGTTTTCACTGTGGAAATGTGGACCACATATTCTGAAGTCAGTTTGCAGGAAGTGTACCAAAAAACTGGGCTGCTGGCTGGGGGGGGGGGGTGTCTGTTATTCATGCTCTCCCTCTCATGGTTGATGAACTAATGCCCTTCAACATTCTCTATCAACTTCGGCTCTCCAGTACCTTCTTTAGGGACCTCCTTCAGGGCAGCCTCTAAGGCATTCTTTCCCTGATAAATTGTATGGATTTCTTCTTTTGTTCCCACTATCTGGGGTTTTTTTAAATATCATTCTGCAGTTCTTCCTCTTTCCTTTAAATATATCCTATTTTCTTGTTCTACACCTTAGTTCATTTACTCTCATTTGGATTTCCTCCTTTTCACTGTGTAGCCTTCCAACGTCTGCAATACAGTACTTCCAGTTATCAGAAGTATGTGGCAGACTAATCTCCTTTTCTTCTGCTGTAGTTTCCACTACTCAGTTCTTTTCCAGTTCCTTGCTTTCCTCCTCTATGGCCAGGTGATACAGGGTGAGACAAGCTGGGCTGTTGGATCTTTGGGGGGTTTTATTTGCCATGGAAGCTCCTGATGTAGTATGGTAAAATGAAGTCACAAATCCTGTTTTTCGTCACTTTATTAAACCTTTTCCAATGACCCAGGAAATGTTTCTCAGGGACTGCCTGCCACTGCCTTTCTTAAGTAGGAAACCTGCCGCCTGGCAGACCAGCCAATGGCAGGAGTCTAGGGCATCTAATTGACAAATTAAAGACTAACAAATTGCCAGGACCTTATGGCATACAACCAAAGGTTTTTTAAAGAACTCAACAGCACAACAGTTGATTTCCAAACCAAAATATACATTATCACTAGAATCCATCACCCTTCCAAATGACTGGAAAACAGCAGACATACCAGTGATTTCTAACAAATGATCCAGAGGATATTTAGTTGTAGTTGTTGAAGTTGTAGGCCTGTTAGCCTGATGTCTATTATGGACAGATTAATTGAAACGGCTAACGAAGACAGAGCTATTAAGCATACAGAAGAACTCCTCCTAGGAACTTAGGAACAATCAGTAGTAAGAAGTTCCGTCTCAACCATGTTTTACAGTTTTTGAGAATAATAACAAATAAAGGTAGACATTATTCTGGAAATTATAGGGTCTAACTCCCTTTTAAAACCAAAACATGTAGTTTGAGAGTCCTTCCAGACTTAGCCTTGCTCCTCTAAAATCAGTAGCATCTGTGCCAGAAGTGTCTTTTACCATCTTAAGCTGATATATTAAATCACAACCTTTCCTGGAAAGGTCTAGCTACAATTATTCATGTACTGACAAAGTCCAGACTGGAATTACTGTAATGAACTCTGCACAGATCTGCATCTGACAAGTTCTCATAGACTTTAGAGGTGTCCAAAGTACAGCATCCCATCCAGGCCCGTAGCCAGCAGGATTTTGTTGCTGTTGGAGGGGGCATTTACATTTTTAAGGGGACAGTTAAATCACAGTTAAATTAATTTGAATGCCTGTCTTTAAAGGGGGAGGCTCTGAGCCTATTTCTAGCCCTTCCTTTCAAGGGACTGGGAAGCGAGTGCATCAGTTCCTAGGAAGAAACAGCTCAGAGGGCAT